AAAGATGAGGTGTTGGGGACCGGGGAATTGGAAGTTCTGGAGGAGGTAGAGGGCGTGGGTGGTGTCACGGACATAGGTAGGGAGTTCCTGGACCAAGGGGGAGAAGATAGAGTCCAGATAGTTGGAGATCAGTTCGGTGGGGCAGGAGCAGGCGGAGACAATGGTTCGACCAGGGCATTCAGGTTTGTGGATTTTGGGAAGGAGATAGAAGCGGGCAGTACGAGGTTGGGGAACGATGAGGTTGGAGGCCGTGGGTGGGAGGTCACCTGAGGTGATGAGGTTGTGGATGGTTTGGGAGATGATGGTTTGGTGCTCAGGGGTGGGGTCATGATCAAGGGGGCGGTAGGAGGAGGTGTCGGAGAGTTGGCGTCTGGCCTCGGCGATGTAGAGGTCAGTGCGCCATACTACAACTGCGCCTCCCTTGTCCGCGGGTTTTATGGTGAGGTTGGGATTGGAGCGGAGGGAGCGGAGGGCTGCACGTTCTGTGGGGGAGTGGGTGAGAGGGGTGGAGAGGTTGAGGCGATTGATGTCTCGACGGCAGTTGGAGATGAAGAGGTTGAGGGAGGGTAGGAGGCCTTGGGGTGGTGTCCAGGAGGAGGAAGTGTGTTGGAAGCGGGAGAAGGGGTCAGTAGAGGGAGGGTTGGGTTCGCGGTTGAAGAAGTAAGCGTGGAGGTGGAGGCGGAGGCGGCGGAAAAACTGCTCTATGTCCAAGCGTGAGCGGTATTCATTGATCTGTGGGTGGAGGGGACAAAGGTGAGCCCTTTACTGAGGACTGACCGTTCGTCCTCAGTAAGGGGGAGGTCTGGGGGGATGGTGAAGACTCGGCAGGGCTGGGTGCTATTGTCCCCTCTGGAGTTACTGGCTGTGGAGGCTGTGGGCGGAGCGACGTCGGCGTCGGCTGTGGGCGGAGTTGCGTCGGTGTCAGCGGTGGGCGGAGTTGCGTCGGCAATGGGCGGAGTTGCGTCAGCGTCAGCGGTGGGCGGAGTTGCGCCGGCGGTAGCGGTGACGGTAGTTGCGACTTCAGTGTCGGTGGCAACGGCAGCGATGGTGTTTGCTGTCCCGGAAGTGGGGAACCTGGCGGTGGCGGATGTGACGTCATCTGTGGGTTCTCCGATAGTGGCCTCATGGCCAATGGCGGCGGACCCATTGTGGGGAAGGTCCTGGGTACGGCTGGGGATTTGGGGGGGTGGAGGAAGCCCGTTTTGGGTGGTAGGCACCAGTAAGTTTACTGTACTTAACGGTTTTTAGTGTCCAATAAAGCTGAGTAGAATTGTGAGTTCAGGCTGTGGATCCTACGAAGAATGAAAAACAGGAGAGGTCCTTTGCAGGTCTGGGAGAGGGAGGCTCTGAGCTGGGGTAGGATTGATTGTAGTGCCTGGAGATGCCGGCGCATTGCTGCGAGTGTGTGTTTCAGGAGTCGCAGGGAGAAACGCTTCTGAAGGATCTCAGTGCCATGAGTGTAGATATTGTCACGGTTGGGGCCAAATTGGGAAGGCTTGAATGTGGATTGTAGTCCAATGGGGATGATCTGGTTCCATAGGCAGGTGCTAAGGAAGGTGATGTGGCTGTAGTACCTGGTTTGCTTCAGGACATGGTAGAGCAGTTTCAGGGCCAAAGAGATTACCAGAGAGTTACAGTGGGAGAGAGATCCCCTGAGGTTTGTCCGGAGGGAGGAGGGTAACTTCTTCAGGCTAGGCATCCTTAGAAGAGGCTTCGCAGTGGGGTTAAAATTGAATCAGAGATAGTAGGAACTGCAGATGCTAGAGAATCCGAGACAACAAGGTGCAGGGCTGGATGAACACAGCAAGCCAAGCAGCATCATAGGAGCAGAAAGGCTGACGTTTCCGGCCTGGACCCTTCATCAGAAAAGGGGGAGGGGAAGGGGGTTCTGAAATAAATAGGGAGAGAGTGGGAGGCGGATAGAAGAGGGATAGAGGAGAGGAAACAAACAGCTAGCTGCTTGTCGAATGAGTTCAAAATTTCGATTGGTTGTCCATGCGCAAAAAAAAACAATCTTGTGTAAAATTCTAAACAATCTCTTCGCTTAGGTATAAACAATTTTTTTTAAAAAAAAACTCTGTTTTCGAATAAAATCCGTGTCAGTGTATGGCGATCCAGTGTTTTAATCTGATATTGCTGGAAAATTGTCATTTGATTCCATAAAACTGGGCGTGATTCGATGAAACGAAAGTAAAATTAACCATCTCGTTTGGAAGCCTGAAGAATCTATTCCCTGGATTTAAAAATAAGTTTATGCTTTCTAGTTTAAAAGAATGGGAATATCACTTTTCTGTGTTGTCATCGTACTTTTCACTTCACTAATAGGTAAGAATATAAGAGTTTTGGTGTCTCTTGGTCCTTAAGCGTTGGAAACCCTAAACAAATACATCCGTCAGGACAAAGCTCAAACTTTAATTCTGCTTCAGGCCGATATGCGGGGAGGGTTTTCAAGCATTCTGCTGTATTGCGTGGATTTAGCCTTTAATGACGATGTTTTACAACGTTTTTCAGGAATCGAAATATTTGTAGTCGTGATTTTTATTTGAATGCCAAATGTGAAAAGGTTGTGCAGCTTGATTCTTAATTGACCTTTATCAGAATAAATACGTGGCTGTGTGTGAGAGAAGTAATAAAACCAGTAACTTGGAAATGTTGGTAAATCTCAAGGTTTCAGAGATATGTATCTTCCTGGAAAAACGTATTGAGATGAAGGCGATTCTGCTTCCAAAACGGAAGTTTCGGCTTTGTGTGTGGTCACCTTGCTTTCAATGTATCCATCTAGTAAATATCCCTGAAACAAACACAGAGCGCGCTGGTTAAACTCCCCAGAGGTGTGGCAGCATTTGTGGAGAGACAACCCCGAGTTAACATTTCATGTCAGGTACGAGTCTTCAGAACTTATTTTCTTTCAAGTGATATCACTGCAGTGATTTATCCTAATATCCCGTTTGACAAACTGAAGACGCAAATGCAATGATTCATAGTCAGTTGAATTTTTTTGAAGAAACGATGTTAAATTATTTATCTTATTGTTTACATTGAACATTCTCACGACTCTGTGGCGCTGTGATTTCCGGAAGTGCTGTTCTCGTACGTACAAATCTGAAAATGACCAGTTAGGAGCAGCCCTTTGAGACTTCTTCACCATTTCGTAACTTCAAGGCTGACCTGATTGCTGCTTTCTTGAAATATAATGAGAATACATCCAGGTTTCCTTTCATCTGCAGTAAAGCTTCTTCAAAGAAGCCCAATACATTTGTTAAACATGAATTCCCTTTCACGAAATCTTGTTGACCCTGTCTGATTAACTTGAACTTTTCTAAAGGGTCCTGCTGTAACTTTAGTAATACCTCTATCAACTTCCCCATCACAGATGTTAAACCAATTGCCCAGTAATTTTCTGTCTTACTCCTTTTTAAAAAATAAAGGAGTTACATTTGCATTCCCAATCTAATGGAATTTATCCTTAATTTAGGAAGTCTTGGCATTTTAAAATCACATATCATCGATATCACTAGCTGCTTAAGACCAAAGTTTGACGTACTAAGGACACTGGGACATTTCAGCCCCCAGTTTCAACAATTTGCTCAGTACCATTTCCCTGGCAACTGTAGTTTTATTGAGTTCCTTTGCTCCTTTCCATTTCCTGACCTGCAGATATTTCTGGGGTGTTGCTCGTATGCTGTGCAATGAAGATCAATTGCAAAATAGCTATTGAGTTCATCTGTCATCTCTTTTATTATCCATTATTAATTCACCAGATTCACTTTATCTGGGATCAATGTTCACTTTGTTAACTTTTTTCCTTTGAAAATATCTATAGAAATATTGGTATCTATCGTTAATTCTTGATCACTTTCTTTCCATTTCTAATTTTCTGTTGTAATGTTTAACCTAACTCTCTCACGGACTCTACTTTCCCCTTCCTTACTAACTTTTCAGTCATTCTTTGCAGTTTTTAAATATTCTGCCCGTGCATCTGACTTGCCAATCAACTTTGCGCAATTATATGCTTTTTCTTAATGTTTGATTTATTTTTCTTTTTTTTAGTTAACGATGGATGGTGTGTCTTCGTTTGAAATTTGTCCTTCTTGTTGAATGTAACTATCCTCTGGATGTATTCTCTTAAATGTTTGTCACTGCATTTCAATTGCCATATCTCTTAACCTAATTTGCCAGTTTAGGTTAGAATCGCTCCAGTAAAGAAGCAGGCCATTCGGCCCTTCAAAGAGGTTCCCACCCAAGCGCATCCCATCCCCATCCCAGCAAACCCCATGGCTAATCCACCTAGCTGACTTTTTCCTGGACACTGTGGGCAATTTTGGATGGCCAATTCACCTAACATGCACATCTTTAGACTGAGGCTTGAATCAAACCCAGGTCCCTGGTGCTGTGAGGCATCAGTGATAACCACTGAGCCACCATGCCACCGTTACATTAACTAGCTCTAATTTCATGCCCTTGTAATTGCTCCTAACTATGTTTAACGTATTTGCCTTGGACCATCTTTTATCCCCTTCAAACTGAAAATAACATTCAATCATATTACAGGTCTGGCAGCATCTGTGAAGGAGAAAACAGAGTTAACGTTTCGAATCCGGTGACCCTTCCTCAGAACCCTCCGCAGTTCTGAGGAAGGGTCACCGGACCCGAAACGTTAACTCTGTTTTCTCGTCCACAGATGCTGCCAGACCTGCTGAGCTTTTCCAGCAACTTTGTTTTTGTTCCTGATTTACAGCATCCGCAGTTCTTTTGGTTTTTATTCAATCATATTATGCTCACTGCTACCTCGGTGGCATGCTTTAGTGTAAGGTCGTTAATTAAACCCATCTTATCACAGTATCCCGTCCAATATAGCCTGCTCTCTTATTGACTGCAGAATGTGTCCTTCTAATAAACTATCCTGAAAGCAAAACCAAAGCAGTAACAACAGATAATAACAGAAAGGAGAGAGAAGCCAAGATAAAGAACAGAAAGAAAAGCACGGCACTGCAATAAACAGTCTAACACTGTCATTTTAATGAGCATAAAGCAGCACAAAAGAAAAGTAGAAAGCAAAGGGTCCAGGCCCGATACATCGACTCACCTGCTCCTCTGATGCTACTGCCTGACCTGCTGTGTTCCTCCAGTTCCACACGGTATTGACTCTGAATTCAGCATCTACAGTTCTTGCCATCTCCAAGCAAACATGTAGCCATGTGTCGGCAATCTATAGGCTTTCAGTCAGAACTTCAGTTATTTAAAGAAAGAACCCATCTTTATGGATTAGCAAAATGCCAGATGTTCAGACTCTTTTATTTGGACACTGAAAAGAAGAGTAAAATGTCTGCAGTATTTCTATGATTGGAAAGAATCCAACACATTCTTTTTTCAGAGTTTAGAAGATCAACTTAAAGTTTCTACTGCATCTATAAAAATTGGCCAGTCTTTACAGATATGATGAATTTCCTTAGCTGCCTGAGGAAGTAGAAACGTTGAGATAACAAGGTGTAGAGCTGAATGAAGGAGAAAGGAAGCTGCGGGACAGGAAGAAGCGGACGGCTTTTAGGCCATATGCATGGGGTATGCAAGTATATAGGGTCTGACGTCCATGGTAAAGATGAGGTGTTGAGGACCAGGGAATTGGAAGTTTTGGAGGAGATGGAGGGCGTGGGTGGTGTCACGGATGTAGATTGCGTGTTCCTGGACCGTGGGGAGAAAATGGAGTCGAGATAAGTGGAGATAAGTTTGGTGGGGCAGGAGCAGGCAGAGACAATGGGTTGACCAGGGCAGTCAGGTTTGTGGATTTTGGGAAGGAGATAGAAACGGGCACTGCAGGGTTTGGGAATGATGAGATTGGAGGCTGTGGGTCGGAGGTCACCTGAGGTGATCAGGTTGTGGATGGTCTGGGAGATGTTTTGGTGGTCGGAATGGGGTCATGATTTAAGGGGGCGGTAGGAGGAGGTGTCAGAGAGCTGGCACCTGGCCTCAGCGATGTAGAGGTCAGTGCGCCATACTACAACTGTGCCTCCCTTGTCAGCGGGTTTTATAGTGAGGTTAGGGTTGGAGCGGAGGGAGCGGAGTTTTTACCAGGGTGGAGAAAATGTATTTTTACCAGGGGGGAGACGTCCATGACACCACCCACACCCTCCACCTCGTCCAAAACTTCCGATTTCCTGATCCTCAACGCCTCATCTTCACCATGGACATCCAGTCCCTATATACTTGCATTCCCCATGCAGATGGCCTAAAAGCCCTCCGCTTCTTCCTCTCCCGCAGGCCCAAACCAGTCCCCTCCACCGACACCCTTATCCGCTTAGCCGAACTCGTCCTCACCCTTAACAACTTCTCCTTCAACTCCTCCCACTTCCTACAGACAAAGGGGGTGGCCATGGGCACCTACATGGGCCCAAGCTATGCCTGCCTCTTTGTAGGATGCGTGGAACAGTCCCTCTTCCGCAGCTACACTGGCCCCATCCCCCACCTCTTCCTCCGTTACATCGATGACTGTATCAGCGCCGCCTCATGCTCCCATGAGGAGCTCGAACAGTTCATCCACTTCACCAACACCTTCCACCCCAACCTTAAGTTCACCTGGGCCATCTCTGATACCTCTCTCTCCTTCCTGGACCTCTCTGTTTCCATCGCTGGCAACCACCTGGAAACCGATATCCATTTCAAGCCCACCGACTCCCACAGCTACCTAGAATACACCTCCTCCCACCCACCATCCTGTAAGAATGCCATCCCCTATTCCCAATTCCTTCGTCTCCACCACATCTGCTCCCGAGATGAGGCATTCCATTCCGGGACATCCCAGATATCCTTGTTTTTCAAGCACCGCAATTTCCCCTCCACAGTGGTTGAGAATGCCCTCGACCGCATCTCTCATGTTTCCCGTAACTCATCCCTCACACCCCCTCCCCGCAATAACAACAAGACAGAATCCCCCTCGTCCTCACGTATCAACCCACCAACCTCCAGATTCAACGCATCATCCTCCGCCACTTCCGCCACCTGTAATCTGACCCCACTACCAAGGACATTTTTCCCTCCCCACCCTTATCTGCCTTCCAGAGGGACCGCTTCTCCGTGACTCCCTCGTCCGGTCCACACTCCCCACTAGCCCCACCACCCCCGGCACTTTTCCCTGCAACCGCAGGAAGTGCTATACCTGCCCCTACACCTCCCCCCTCACCCCCATCCCAGGCCCCAAGAAAACCTTCCACATTAAACAGATATTCACCTGCACATCTGCTAATGTGGTATACTGTATCTGCTGTTCCCGATGTGGCCTCCTCTATATCGGGGAAACCAAGCAGAGGCTTGGAGACCGCTTTGTAGAACATCTACGCTCGGTTCGTGACAAACGACTGCACCTCCCAGTTGCGAACCACTTCAACTCCCCCTCCCACTCCTTGGACAACATGTCCATCCTGGGCCTCCTCCAGTGCCACAACGATGCCACCCAAAGGCTGCAGGAACAGCACCTCATATTCGGCTTGGGAACCCTGCAGCCCAACGGTATCAATGTGGACTTCACAAGCTTCAAAATCTCCCCACCCCCAACCTCATCCCAAAACCAGCCCAGCTCATCCCTGCCTCCTTGACCTGTCCGTCTTTTCTCCCACCTATCCGCTCCTCCCACCTCACTGACCAATCCCCACCCCCACCCCGACTTCCTACCTACTAGCCTCTTCCCTGCCTCCTTGAACTGTCCATCTTCCCTCAAGTGATCAACCCCCATTCCAACTCCCTCCCTACAATCACCTTTCCTGGCTCCATCCCCACCTCCTTGACCTGTCCGTCTTCTCTCCACCTATCTATACCTTTATCCATCTTCCATCTTCGCCTCCCCCCTCTCTATTTATTTCAGAGTCCCCTTCCCCTCCACCATTTCTGAAGAAGTGTCCCGACCCGAAACGTCAGCTTTCCTGCTCCTCTGATGCTGCTTGGCCTGCTGTGTTCATCCAGCTCCATACCTTGTTATCTCAGATTCTCCAGCATCGGCAGTTCCTACTATCTGGAAGTAGGGACGTCGTTGTGTTTTCTTGACTGTCGCATCGACGTGGACAGTCCAGGACAGGTTGTTGGTGATCATCACTCCTAGGAGCATAACGGTCTTGACCATTTCCACCTCAGCACCATTGATGTAGACGGGCCGTGCCCTCCACTTTGCATCCTGAAGTCAATGACCAGCTGTTTCATTTTGCTGATGTTGAGGGAGAGATTGTTATGTTTACAACGCACCACCAAGCACTCAATCTCTTTCCTGTATTCTGTCTCGTTGCTATTTGTGATCCGGTCTGCAATGGTGGTGTCATCACCAAACTTGTAGATGGAGTCAAGATGAAATTTGGATATACATTAATGAGCGTACAGGGAGTATAGTATGGCGCTGAGTACGCAGCCTTGCAGGGAGCTGGTTTTGAGCATTATCATGGAGGAGGTGTCGTTGCCTGTTCCTATGTGGATCAGGAAGTCAAGGATCCAGTTGCAGAGGGCAAAACAGAGACCTAGGTCTCAGAGTTTGGATATTAGTCTGGTTGGAATTATAGTGTTGAAAGCCTAGGAGGAGAATACCTGAAAATCTTGTGAGGAAGACATAGTTTCAAAAACGCTTGTTGACTGAAACTGATTAGACTTATGCTGAGTGGATTGCCAAACTAATTCCTAACTTCTGACACTGTCTTTAATATATAATTTATAGTTTATAACCAATCATAAGTTGTCTGTTACTTCACATTGAACTGATACTGATTCTGGGTATAGAGCGTAAGGGTTAATCAAAGGATTTAGTGTATACTTTGCTTGACTCCTGTATAGTAAAAATGCTTCTGTTTTAACCATGAACTCTTGTGAATCTATGTGTTTTGAAAATTTCAGGGCTCTTTTTAGAAAATTGATACTGGTCCCTACTAAGATTGTAACAATAATTCTCTATCTATTTGAGATACTGAGGCGTGTTTATGCATATTACCATTTTAAAATATTAAATTATTTTATAGGAGCTTTAGAAGTGGAGATCTTTCCCTCACCACTGGAAGTTTTAGCAAATGAGGATGCTCTTTTAAAATGTGAATATAAAGAACCAGAATCTGACCTCTCATATGTAGCTGTTCAATGGGTTTTAACATCACAAACAGTCCAGAAAGATGTGTATGTATTCAATGGAGGAAATCATCAACCAATCAGAAATGGAGCAAAGATTTTTGACAATGCTTTACGGAAAGGAAATGCTTCACTTTACCTTCCAAATGTGAAACTTTATGAAGAAGGAACATACACCTGCATTGTTTTAGTTACTCCCCAGAAAGAAGAAAAGAGTTCAGTGATGCAAGTATCAGGTAGGAGAGAGAACATCAATTTCAGCTCCATAACATGCAATTTTACTTAGAGTACTGGGTATTTACTGCTATATGCAAAAATGTTTATTTCAATCTTAAAGATATCAAACTCCTAACTCTGCTGATGACGAAGTGAGCACACCAGTTAATAACAACCATCAACATTGCGGTCTTTACAAAGCCAGCTGACCTTGGTTAGGGCAGCAATAGTAAGAGGTATAACAAAGAAAGTGTGAAGAGAAACACTGAACATCAAAATCACACAAAAATCTCTCCACAACTATGATAGGGTCTTGTCATCTTCACCTTTCCATTCCACCAGTGTCCACATTCAACTGATCATCCTGCAGGTTAAAACAAATGAAAATAGCAAAGGGAGTAAAGAACTGAAGCAATGCTAGGTTCTCAGAGCAAGAATTAGTAAAATCCACAATGATATATTAACAACTTTACTCTATTCTATTTTACACAGTCCAACCAAAAGTCAGCATGTCTAAACAAGAAATCAAAACTGAAAACGGTGTACAGCACTTTTTGGAATGTGATGTTAAAGAATTTTATCCTAAACCGATCAATGTTAGTTGGTTCAAGTTATCAAATGGAAAAATGGAATATGTTTCAACAAGCCATTCAACTGAGGATATCGTTATGAACAGTGATGGAACATTCAGTGTTTCCATTAAAGTGAAAACTGAACCAATGTTGAATGAACAAACTGACTACAGATGTGTAGTGGAACATAAAACCATTTTTGACCATTTTACACTGGATGCTGACAGTGCTGCAGGTAAGACCTAGTGAGAGTAAAGAGTTTGCTTATAATTTGTAATTTTATAACCTTGTAATATTTAGTTCTTTAGATGGCCTTTCCAGTTTTGTAATTTCTCCCTTTCTTTTATTCACCCATGGGATGTGGGCATTACTGACTAGGCCAGCATTCATTGCCAATCCCTAATTACCCTGAGGGCAGGTAAGAGGCAACACATCACTGTGGGTCTGGAATCAAATGTAGGACAGATTGGGTAAGGATGGCAGATTTCCTCCTCTAGTGGACATTAGTGAACCAGAAGGGTTTTTTTTTTGCACAATTGGCAACGGTTGCATGGTTGCCATTTGGTGACCTTTGGATTCCAGATTTTTATTAAGTTCAGGTTTCACCATCCACATGGTAGGATTTGAACATATGTCCCCTCTACTTTAGTCTGAGGATCTGCAGTGAAATTATCACTTTGTCACTGCCTTCCCCTAAATTTGATTTTCTATCTTTCTACTTGCCATGCCCAGCTCTTCACAGATTAGTGTCATCCCAATACAGGTCCCTTCTCTTTACATAGCAGAAGATGTCCACATGCCACAGCTTGATATACCAAAGCAAAAATAGGGAGTGTCGAGCAGACGTGCAGCTATGTTGTATGAACTTTGATCTCTGCACTGTAACTGATCATTGATCATGGGTGTGGTTGGAATTCAAACTGCATTGATGCTACTCCTCATTTCATTGGAAAGTTTTCTTTGAAAATGTAAATTTTTGTTGTTGGGGTTACTGAAGAATTCTTAAACAGGACAAAGCTGCAACCTACTTCACTCATTTTCTAGTGTGGGCTCTTCCAGACAAGACTAGACCCTAAGCAACATACCCAAAAGCCCAGATTCCTGTTTTAGGTATCTGTCTGGAATGACTAAAAAACAAGCCTAGTTAATTTAGCATAAGGCTAAACGCATAAAAAATTAATTTCAAACAATGCACAATGTTGAACACATATCACATGTTTACATAAATTATTTCAGTTCTACCATATTTTCTTGAAAATAAATTGATCCGATTAACAGAACAGGACAATAAAGCTTCTAATGAATATATGCAAATGATGCAAGTTTTGAAAGAGTTGTGCATGTTTTCTACTTTAACAGAAAAAATACCAACTGTATACCACATTATTGGAGGCGTTGCTGGCTTTATTTTCTGTGCAATATGTATAGGAGTTTGTGTAGGACTTTGTATCCGGTACAAAAAATCGAAAGGTAAAGTCATTTTTATATTCATAGAGACTGACTATATATTCTAAGAGAACTATTTGGTTATTAGATCTTTGCATGGCACCTTGTCTGAAAGTGTTGAATATTTGTCGTAATGTGAAAAGGGAATTGTTTTTTGACAAGTAGTTACCATCTGTGGGCAGCTTTACTGTTCTGACAGTGGTTTTGACTAACATTGTTTGGCCCCATTGTGATCATTATCGGTTTCACTGCAACGCTGTTTCATTACAAGTTACAGAGTCATACAGGTTACCTAGTCCATGTGGAGCAATCCAGTTGGTCCCATTCACCTGCTAGATCCCTACAGATTTATTTCCCTGTACACATTGTATTACTTGTTAAAATCATTGATTACCTCCACTTCCACCAGACTGCTAGGGGTAAATTCCAGGCCATTGTTATTCACTGCACAAAACAATTCTTATCTTCATCTTTGCTGTATCTCCTACTGAAACCTGAAGTTGAGATTATCTAGTCCTTGCACAATCAGGTTTTCGTTATTCTATTGCAATTTAACAATTGAACATAACTTTCCTAGTTTTCAACTCAATTCCTATAATTATGATCTAAAGTGGAGGAGCACCAATATCTTTGCAAGGAGATTTGCTAGTGCCACTTGGGTGAATTTAAACTAGAGTGGCAGAGCAATGGGAAACAGAGCAGTCAGTCAGCATGTGGTGTGATTGAGGAAAAGGTCGCTGTTAAGTTAAGTAAGTCTGATAGGAAGAACAGGCAGGGCTATTGTTAATGAACACGGTGGGACTAGTCGTCTGAAGTGTATTTGTTTTAATGCAAGGAGTATAACGGGTAAGGCAAATGAGTTTAAAACCTGGGTAGTACGCAGGATTATGATGTGGTCGCCATTACAGAAACTCGGTTGAAAGAAGGGCAGGACTGGCAGCCCCATGTTCCAGGTTTAGATATTTCAGGTGAGATAAAGAGGAATGTAAAAGAGATGGGGGAGTTGCAACACAGATAAAGGAGAATGTCACAACTGGACTAAGAGAGGACGTCTTGGAGGGCACATCCAGCGAGGCCATATGGGTAGAACTCAGAATTAAGAAAGGCATAATCACTGTGATGCAATTATGCCATCAGTCTCCCAATAGCCAGTGGAAGATAACGGAACAGATATGTCAGAAGATCATGGAATGATGTAAAAGCAACATGAAATTATAGGCCGGTGAGCTATATATTAGTGGTAGGGAAATTATTAGAGAAGATTTTTAGGGGCAGGATTTACCTGCATTTGGAGAACCTGCATTTGGAGAAGAATGGATTTATTAGGGAAAGTCAGCACGGTTTAACGCAGGGAGGTTTTGTCTCATGAATTTTAGAGATTTTTGAGAAAGTAACAAATGGTTGATGAGGGTAAGGCAGAGGATGTTTTCTACATGGATTTTACTAAAGCATTTGATGATGTTCCCCTCATGGTGATTGATCCAGAAGCTTAAGTCACATGACATCCATGGCGTGTTTATAAGTTGGACACAAAATTGCATAGTTATGGAGGGGTGATTTTCTGACTGGAGGTCTCTGATCAGTGATGTTCTGTGAGGATCAGTACTGGGACCTCTGTTGCTTGTAATATATCCAAATGACTTGGATGAAAATGTAGGTGATAGGTTTGCAGGCAACATGAAAATTGATAAACTTGTGGATAGTAAGGAAGGTTGTCAAAGGATGCAAAAGAACATAGGTCATAGAGTCATAGAGATATACAACACGGAACATGGTACAACTTGACCATGCTGACCAGATATCCTAAATAAATCTAGTCCCACTTGCCAACATTTGGCCCATATCCCTCTAAACCGTCCTAATCATATACACATCCAAATGTCTTTTAAATGTTGTAATTGTACCAGCCTCCACCACTTCCCCTGGCAGCTCATTCCATACACACACCACCTGCTGCATGAAAAAGTTTCCACTTGAATCCCTCTTAAATATTTCCCCTCTCACTTTAAACCTATGCCCTCTAGTTTTGGACTCCCCTACCCTGGGGAAAAGACCTTGTTTATTTACCCTATCCACGCCCCTCATGATTTTATAAACCTCTATGAGGTCACCCCTCAGCCTCCAATGCTCCAGGGAAAATAGGCCCAGTCTAATCAGTGTCTCCGTATTGGTCAAACCCTCCAACCTTAGCAACATCCTTGTAAATCTTTTCTGAACCCTTTCAAGTTTCACAACCACCTCCTATAGCAGGGAGACCAGGATTGCATGCAGTATTCCAATAGTGGCCTAATCAATGTCCTTTACAGCCACAATATGTCCTCTCAACTCCTATACTCAATGCACCGACCAATAAAAGGCAAGCATACCAAATGCCGCCTTCACTGTTCTATCTACCTGCGACTCCACTTTCAAGATTGAAAAGTCAAGTGAAGAAATGGCAGGCGGAGCTTAATCTGAACAAGTGAGAAGTGATGCATTTTGGGAGGTCAAATACTAGAGGAAAGTATACTGTAAATGGCAGTACACCTGGGAACATGGATATACAGAAGGATCTTGGAGTAAAAGTCCATGATCCTGAAAGTGGCAACACAAGTGGATAAAGTAGTAATGAGGGCAGACGACATGCTTGCCTTCATCAATCAGGGCATTGAGTACAGAAGTTGGCAAGTTAAGTTGCATCTGCATATAACTTTAGTTAGGCCACATTTGGAGTACTGTGTGCAGTTCTGTTTGCCACACTATAGGAAGGTTGTGGAGGCTTTTGAGGGGGTACAAAAGAGGTTTACTAGGATGTTAGATAACAAGGTGTAGAGCTGGATGAACACAGCAGGCCAAGCAGCATCAGAGGAGCAGGAAAGCTGACGTTTCAGGCCTAGACCCTTCTTCAGAAATGGGGGAGGGGAAGGGGGGTCTGAAATAAATAAGGCTAGAGGGGGAGGTTTATAGAAGATGGATAGAGGAGAAGATAGGTGGAGAGGAGACAGACAGGTCAAAGAGGCTGGAATGGAGCCAGTAAAGGTGAGTGTAGGTGGGGAGTTAGGGAGGGGATAGGTCAGTCCAGGGAGGACGGACAGGTCAAGAGGGCGGGATGAGGCTAGTAGGTAGGAGATGTGGGTGGGGCTTGAGGTGGGAGGAGGGGATAGGTGGGAGGAAGGACAGGTTAGGGTACGGAGACAGGGATGAGCTGGGCTGGTTTTGGGATGCGGTAGGGGGAGGGGAGATTTTGAAGCTTGTGAAGTCCACATTGATACCATTGGGCTGCAGGGTTCCCAAGCGGAATATGAGGTGCTGTTCCTGCAACCTTCGGGTGGCATCATTGTGGCACTGCAGGAGGACCAGGATGGACATGTCGTCTCAGGAATGGGAGGGGGAGTTCGCGACTGGGAGGTGCAGTTGTTTAGTGCGAACCGAGCGTAGGTGTTCCGCAAAGCAGTCCCCAAGCCTCCGCTTGGTTTCCCCGATGTAGAGGAGGCCACAACGGGAACAGCGGATACAGTATACCACATTAGCAGATGTGCAGGTGAACATCTGCTTGATGTGAAAAGTCTTCTTGAGGCCTGGGATGGGGGTGAGGGGCGAGGTGTAGGGGCAGGTGTAGCACTTCCTGCGGTTGCAGGGAAAAGTGCCGGGATGGTGGGGCTGGAGGGGAGTATGGAGCGGACAAGGGAGTCCCAGAGAGAATGGCCCCTCCGGAAAGCAGATAAGGGTGTGGAGGGAAAAATGTTTGTGGTGAGGTCGGATTGCAGATGGCGGAAGTGTCAGAGGATGATGTGTTGGATCCAGAGGTTGGTGGGGTGGTACGTGAGGACGAGGGGGATTCTGTTTTGGTTGTTGCGGGAAATGCGGGAGACACGGTCAAGGGCCTTCTCGACCACTGAGGGGGGGACGTTGCAGTCCTTGAAAAACGAGGACATCTGAGATGTTCGGGAGTGGAATACTTCATCCTGGGAGCAGATGCGGCGGTGGCGAAGGAACTGGGAGTAGGGGATGGCATTTTTGCAGGAAGGTGGGTGGGAGAAGGTGTATTCTGGGTAGCTGTGGGAGTCGGTGGGCTTGAAATGGATATCGGTTTCCAGGTGGTTGCCAGAGATGGAAACAGAGAGATCCAGGAAGCAGAGAGAGGTATCAGAGATGGTCCAGGTGAACTTAAGGTTGGGGTGGAAGGTGTTGGTGAAGTGGATGAACTGTTTGAGCTCCTCTTGGGAGCACGAGGCGGCGCCGATACAGTCATCAATGTAACGGAGGAAGAGGTGGGGTTTAGGGCCAGTGTAGGTACGGAAGAGGGATTGTTCCACGTAACCTACAAAGAAGCAGGCATAGCTTGGGCCCATGAGGGTACCCATGGCCACCTGCTTTGTCTGTAGGAAGTGGGAAGAATTGAAAGAGAAGTTGTTGAGGGTGAGGATGTTGCCTGGATTGGAGTGTGTTAGCCATAAGGAGAGGTTGAACAAAGTTGGATTGTTTTTGCTAGAGTGTCAGAGGCTGAGGGGCAGCCTGATAAAAGTATATAAAATTGAGAAGCATGGATAAGGCAGGTCATCAAATCCTTTTTCCAGGGTGAAAATGTCAAATAATAGGGGGCATTGATTTAAGGTAAGAGGGGAAAAGTTTAAAGGAAATGTGTGAGGAAAGCCTTTTTTTTACACAAAGTGGGTAGGTGCCTTGAATGTACTGCCAAGGGAAGTGGTAGAAACAGATATAATAGCAATATTTAAGTGGCATTCAGACAGACACAAGAACAAGCAGGGAATAGAGGGATACAGATCATGTGCATGCACATGGGATTAGTTTAGATTGGCATCATGGTTGACACAATCATGGTGGGCTGAAGGGCCAGTTTCGGTGCTGTACGTTATGCATTCTTTGTTCAGGCTCGTCTAGCTTGGACTGAGTTGTGGCTGAGTCAGTGCTGTGTCTCAGGTGAAGCAGGAGACCCAGCAATGATTTCCTCCACTTCACAAGGATTAGTGCCACCACCTTCTGTACGCTACCTTACACATTCAAGGCCACCACTTATTTGAACTCTGCCACCACGCAGTCCTCTCATGACGACGTGTCGACTGTTGTATAAAACATGTAGCCGCAGTCACCCTCTCAGCCATGCAAATTACTAACGGTTCCTATTTACTCACTGGGGACACCTCACCTGCTGTCCTGCTCATGCATTATCGCTGACTGCCCTTCCATCCACTTCCATTATACCCAACCCTCCTTATGTCTTATTGCATGAAAAAATGAATCTCAACTAGGCTGAGAGGGTGATGAGGGTGAAGACTAGGCAACGGGTGATGGTGGACAAAAGGCTCCTACCTCAGAAACAAAGAAAACGTTGCACTTGGCTGGAGAAGACCACAGCCACTCACTGGGACTTCATGAGCAACCAATGCCATGCGCTTATTGTGCCATGTTGTAGTGCTGTCTGACTGCCACCAACACTAAGCTCCCTCCTAGTCACTGTCCTGATCCTCATCTTCCTCCTCTGAAGATTACTGTTGACCACTAATTATCTCCACATTCAGGATTTTGTCATTTCCAGTTGTGAAGGGTGCAGTATGCCATAATCATATAACATATCCTTTCTCGCCTACACTGTAAAACTTCTCGAGGCATTGAAACCTTATCTTAACAAACCTGTGGTCTATTCCACTGTGACACTGTTGGAAGTATGGACTGTGGTGTATCTCCATTTGTGTCACTCTGAGGGTTTTGTAAAAGTTTTGTGAGCTGTATTTGGAAGGGGTTAGGTCTTGTCTCTCAGCAGCCATCCCTGCATAACCCAAGGAACTTGAAAAGAGGTAGGAACCTTTGTGTTCTCCTGGCAGCTCCCAGGATATATAGCACTGAGCTCCAAGATCTGGCATCAATGATCACAGATAAGGTCAACATTAATGGATTGGAGGCCTTTTGCATTAACAAACTCTGCAGGTTGGGGCTTGAGAGCTCTCACTGAAACTGGCACCATCTAGTTACCTGGCAAAGGATTCGACAATTTGAAGCTGTATAGAAGTGAGTAAATCTAAAAATGAAATGCAGTCACCACTCATCAGTAAGATTCAGAACTTGCCATTTAAAGTCCAATTGGAAAATTAAAATATTTAAAATGCAGCACACATGATAATAAGTTGACAATCCATCAGTTAACTTAGTGAATGGGTGAAAAACAGATCTGAATTTTCTGCTGCTCTCTAGCTTCAGTTTACTGTTCACCAATGTGGAAATCATATTTTAATGAGCGAACAAAATTCACAAGTGAACTTATTTCATTCTCCAACAACAATTTTGCCTGCTATTTACTGGCATCATAAGTGTGAATATTGCTGAAATCCTACTTGCTCTAATTGTGACAGTTTTCTTTTGGTTATTCACTATAACCAGACACTGGGCTCATTTGGCGTATTGGTAGTGTTCCTACCTCCAAGCAAGGAGGCCTGATTTGAAGCCCCACCTGCTGTAGAGATTTGTATCTCTGAACAGATTCATTCATAAACTATCCATAACCAGGTAGTTGGTACTGCTGTATTCATCTTGGGCAGTGAAAGGATTGAGACAAATGTCTTGTTGAATTGGTTTTCAAATGTCTGAATAGAAGTAGGCTGAAGAACTGAGAGAATGGTGCACTTGTAATACTGTCCCATTCAGGATTCAAATGCCATTGATATAAAGGGTGAGAGGGGTGAGATTAAAAAAGAACCCAAGAAGCAACTTTTTCACACAGAGCTGGAGCGTGTACAGAATGTGCTACTACAGAACATGATGGAGGCTGTTACAATTACAACATTTAAAAGGCATCTGCATTAGTACATGAACAGGAAGGGTTTAGAGGGATATGGGCCAAATGGTGGTAAATGGGACTAAATTAATTTAGGATATCTGGTCAGCATGGATGAGTTGAATCGAATGGTCTGTTTCCGTGCTGTACAACTCCATGACTCTGACTCTATTTCATGGCTATGTATTTTGATGGCATTGATTTTAAGGGCAACAAGAAGCAAACACCATTGATACAAGTCAATGTATTTTGTATACAAGCCTGACATATTTTGACTTCATTGTTTTGAAGGACAACAAGAAGCAGAAGAAGCTAGACAAGAATCTGAAAGGTCTTTGCTACTTCCAAAAGGTAAATGCTGTGCCAAGTATATAATTTTGATTTTTGCTGCTCCTCTGACAGTCCTGCATTAGAAGAGAACAGCCAGAATGGAAATATGGCTCCACATTTCTGAGGGTACCTCGAGTGGAATCTCCTCTCAGAAATGAGGAGCTTCTTTCTTATATAAAAGCAAAGGGCCATTGCCACTGCTCAGAAAATCCTGCCCATTAAAGCACGGCACTTGGTGCGTATCTACACAGTGATTTCCATGGGGCTGACATTCAAGTAAACTTTCAGTTCACTAAACCTGCAAGGTCAAACTGCCTTAACTTTCAAAGTTTCCACCAACTGGGCAGTGTTAAAGCAGTCACTCAAAGAGCCTTGAACAGTGGTTGTTTAGCTTACTGATGGAACACAGTAACTTAAGTAAATTTGATGCAGAGGTGCTGGTGTCGGACTCGGGTGGACAAAGTCAGAAGTCTCACGTCACCAGATTATAGTCCAACAGCTTTAATTTGAAATCACAAGCTTTCGGAGCATAGCCCCATCATCAGGTGAAG